TCAAAATCTCTCAGTGAGGAGTCTCGCTAGTCGGTTACCAACAATACCCGTGAGTAACCCTGTGAATAAAAAGAACACGCTGATCGGGCGGTAATTCTTCAGATCTCTATCGGCCAGTTTACACCATAATGAGGTGCCTGTTTTCAGTAATTTTGCAAAATGCTGACATACAGACACACACATAGACGCACACACACCCATACACACAGACGCACACACAAACACAGACAAAAACAAACAGACGTAGATGCATATGCGCGGCCGACCGTATTAGGTAAACACCCTAGAACATCTGCGAAGTCCAAAAATTTGTCCAAAAGCACTGTGGTTGCAAGAGCTTTGAGTGACCAGAAGGTGGGCGATGCGAGAGCTCGTAGGGGCAGGAAAACGAGGATTAGGGGTGTCCAGGAACGTGGGGCGAGTTCTTCCTGCTGCTGCTATTGCTGTGGTTTCCTCTGTCCGCCCTCTCCGCACATGCTGTGCTCTCTCTCTGCACCGCATCCAGGCAGCAATCCGTCCGAAATTGTGGGCAGTGGACGTTGCTATGCCGGGAGGCAGCCGCTCATAAACTTACCTGGCTGGGAGACTTCCGCGATCAGGAAGGCGGGACCTTCACGGTGAGACTGCTCCATTGCACTTTCGGTCCGGTTGACCCGTGTGGCTACTCCGAGTTGGGGTCAGCCAACAGCACAATTTTTGCGTTTGGGGTTGCGTTCGCGCTCCCCCGCTATAAAACAACGTCTGCAAATACCTCAAGAGTTACAACGAACTTGTTAGATATAATTTGGTGAAGACGGCTCCTGTGATTTTGATGGCTTAATTGCATCAGTGATATTGAGGGTTTTACACACACAAGTCCAGATCTCGCGTACGAGTAGATGGTACTAGGAGCGAAATTGGCATTCACTTAACTCGTGATTCGAACTACGTGGACAGCTGTACTTTTGTGAAGATATCGATTGTCCATGTACGAAATCGTCGTTTGTATAAAACTAGCATCTGCTGCTCATGTTTCGTGCTTGCATATATCAAATGTTATCCGCTGTTCTGCTCCTCCTGAACACTGGCTAGATTGCCGAATTTTTATGTGGCGATCACTCGTCTCAGTGTGATCTCACAGATGTAGAATTAGTCCTCGTTGATGACATTTTCTCGCAGAAATGCTGAACTAGTTTGAGCTGCCAGACTTAGCAAGCTGAACAGATTTCATTTCGGGCTCCTGTACTTCACATCCCACACTATGCATACGAGCTGTGCTTTCCATGATTATGCAATTTTGCATTATCACTGGCAGCATAATTCTAGTAATATTCGTCTTCATCGCAGCACAGACAGTGCTTACAAGAAGTGTTTGACTCTCTCTGTCACACCAACAACTTTCGGTTTGTTAGGTCGGTAGAGGCGAAATCAACAATTGCCACACCAAATATTAACTACTCGAAATTTGACAATCAGCAAGCCACATACTCCACGGGATTCCTGGTGATCTCACTGTGGCAGGACTGCGGGTCGCCAGTGATTTACTAAAAGTTAGCAAAATAGTTGCAAATAAATCTGCAAAAAAATAGCACATAAGAATCCGAAACTGAAGTATTTGCTTTACAGACCATCTCGGTATGTCAAATTCCCATTAAAAACTGGATCCGTGTAATACTACGCAAGAAAACCCCGGAGTTTTGTGGGACGCCCATTTGTCCGCGTTGTACGGTGAAATAGGGATGTACGGACGCATCCCTTCCCAAAATTTCGCCATTGGCTTGTTTCAAATCGGGACAGCCACATGGGGCAACGGAGTCAAAAGTGCAGTGACTTAGACTCGTCCGCGAAACCCCGATTTCATGACCACGGGCGTCTTACATCCAA